GGGTTTATAAGGATTTGGGCTTGGAACTACTAAGCCTGTGTATTAGGTAGGTTTTTTGGTAGACATTTCGTCGCCTTTAAAGTAACCTTCGCCAATGGGGACCACAGGGCGGACCACAGTCAAACGTGCGGCGAGACAGGCGCTTGCTTGTCACGCCCTCTTCTGTAAAAGCTATTTGCCGCTGGGCAAAAATCACTTTGTGTAACCCCACCTATTCTTTCTGATCGGCTTTGGTTCAATGCCTAAACCTCCCACCATCCATGTTACGCAAAAAAAACAAAACATATACGCACCCATCTTGCCCTATTATGTTCCCCAGGTTTCGGGTGGGTTAGGGGGAGGGGGGGGAGGTAGCCAGTTTACTTTTGACATCCATTGTAGCCTTAAAACGTTTATTCACTAAAAATTATATTAAATCAAATCGCAAGTGGGAGCGACTGATCAGCTTTCAGAGCGTTAACATCTCATTTGATAGCACTCAACCTTGGCTGACACGGAAGTAAATAGCACCTATTAAGCCGGTTGAGGGTCACTGAAGTGGAAGAACTTAAATTGCAAATCGGCCCAATCTGGAAACGAGTTTATTAGCAACAGGTATAGAAAGCTACGAGATCATACTAAGTCGACGCAATGTTTTCGTAGTATTTATTACAGAGATACATTATCCATAACTAAGTCAAAGCTATCCCCTGGCCGTGTGAGAAATCAAAAATTAGGGTTTGTTGACTTTGTCTCTTATCTCTAGGTTCCACATAATTTTCTTCCAGCTTTTGATTTTCAGATCTCGCAATTTCTAACATCTTTCCTTAAGAAGTAATTAATTACCTTCTCGTTCTCTATGTCAAGTGCGTCGTACCCAGATTTGTTGTCGAACCCAGTTCGTCGACAAGAGATCAGGGTACAAGATTGGCCGGCGAACTCACGGAACTCACTGTGATAAAAACCACTATACACATGCTATGAATTAAAAAAACAAAAAAACCCAACAGATTTTAACACTACTGCAACACAGTTTCTCTTGTGTCTACTTAAGGGAGTTTATAGCATCTAACAGACTTCGATTTTTAATAAAAACGATAAAACTCGCGGAGAGCGTGGTATAGAATTTTTTGACATTCCAACACTCACTTTCAGTTTTCACAAAGTCTGTCAATGCGATTTATAATCACTAATCCGACAACTCATCTGAAAATTCAAATTCATCAGAATCGTGCAAACGAGCGAGCCGGGCTGTGGCATTGTTAATCACATCTTGTCGTATTCTCCAGTAAGGAGGACAAGCACTTCCGTAAATCTCAACTTGAGTATGTCCTTGCGGTGTCACTAAGCCCAGGGCGAAGTAATCGTCTAGAAAACTAGCATGCTCCAGATAATATCGAAACAAAACGTTTGATGAGTCCACTTCAGAAATTACGAAGAAGTAAAGTTTAACAATGCTATCGTCATCCTCGTGGAACATAACTGGCTTGAAGTATTGTCCTCCCGTAAGCAGGCAAGATCCAATATCAGTGATTTCTCTGCCAAAAGCATTGATCCTTGCAGCTTCGAAAAAATCGTCTCCGAGCGTAGTTTTTAACAACAAGATGCTTTTTACAACTTTTTCCGCGTCGTGATGTTTGTTTTCTCTAATCAGCCGACTCATTTCAATAGTAGCTGCATTTAGAATACCAACAACTTTTGATTGGCAACTTTCAAGTTCTGCCTTGGAGTTCAGTCCATATAGTTTNGTAAAGTTTAACAATGCTATCGTCATCCTCGTGGAACATAACTGGCTTGAAGTATTGTCCTCCCGTAAGCAGGCAAGATCCAATATCAGTGATTTCTCTGCCAAAAGCATTGATCCTTGCAGCTTCGAAAAAATCGTCTCCGAGCGTAGTTTTTAACAACAAGATGCTTTTTACAACTTTTTCCGCGTCGTGATGTTTGTTTTCTCTAATCAGCCGACTCATTTCAATAGTAGCTGCATTTAGAATACCAACAACTTTTGATTGGCAACTTTCAAGTTCTGCCTTGGAGTTCAGTCCATATAGTTTCTCTTTCAAGCTCCTCGCGTGTTCAAGTTTCAACAAAAGTGTTTCCAATCGGTTATCCGTTCCCATGTTTTGATCTTCGTGTTTTGACGCTGGGACATTTCCATTATTATGATTGTCTGTTAATTCTGAATTATCACGAAGCAGTGGAGTGCTGTCAAGATCGAGATCTATCTCGCTGTCTGCATCGTCATCTGACGGCCTACTAGGAAAACAGCCCATGATTTCATATACCTTAATACCTTTTGGTGTTAAGAGCATTAGATACCAACAGATTCGATCGTCGGTATATTTTTGGCTATTGAAAGTTTTCAATGGAAGCTGAAAGTGAATTGATGCGTAACTGAACTGAACTTACGTAAATGAATGTAATTTGAATTACAATTGACAAATCAATCAAAACTAATCTGTAGTCTCTGGGGCTTTGAGAGTAAAAGGCCGAAGTCCCACAAAACGGTTCGAGGAAAATCCACTGAAAAAACCTCTTGTTTTCATTAATAATATTAATCATGATAATGATGATGATAATGATAATAATAATAATAACTTTATTAAAGTCTCAAGCTTCTAGCTTAGCACCGGCAAGTTCTGAAACTAATCGGGGAAACACAAGCTTGTTTGCTCGTCTAAGATATCTTTCTTAATTGAAACAATTTTAAATTTTGGAAAGCAGCAAGTTGTCCGGACCTGTACCCACTTCAGTGTCTGCATTTGTTGAACCGAAGAAGAAAATTAATTTTTACGTGTTAATGACGTAACGTTAGATTATTTCCAGAAGGCTGTTTGTTCATTCTGACTTGTTCTGTAAGCCCAGCCCATAATATAAGCTACATCCGGCTATTTCATTTGCATCTCGTTTGATAACTCTACATTGAGATTTAATCTTTTTAAATTCATTTGTTTCGCTTTTTAATTATTTTAGTAGTTCCCAGGAAGACAAATCCCACGAGATACGAAGTAATCCTTTTTCGACAACGAGGAAATAACGAACCGAGGAAACGAGGCTGAGCTTAAAACCATCACGCGACGTAATGCCGAGGATGCAACGATCAAAAGTCTCTACCCCAGGATAGTTTCTGCTGACCAGCAAGCGCTCTCTGGGGTAGTGACTTGTGCATGTTCCTTATGAAAAGATAGCTCATTGAAAAATGAAAAATGAAAGTCTGTGTTCAATTTTTATTTGTTTTAGGAATTAAAAAATTAAAAATTAAAAAAATAAAATCTATGTTCGATTTCTTTTGTTTCTGAACATAGAAAAATGAAAAATGAAAATCTGTGGTGAGGCATTTTTTTGGACTCAAAATGGAAATGAAACTAACCCGGAAATAAAGAAAAACAACCCAACAACATACAACAGATTCCAGCGTAATTGCTGTCATTTGCTTCATCAAATCAGCTTCTATCTTGTTCGAGTGTTTCTGTCGCAATGGAGGAAGATTAGATTATTTTAGAATGAAGAGTAGAAAGACGAGGGAAAAAAAAAGAAGGTGACAGCGGAGTGATTTGCACAAATGTTTGGAATGAGTCCTGCCGCAGATTATTGTAATTGAGCTGATGTTTTCCATGTGTTTTCGAAGGGAATGTATGTGACAACTATGGAGAAACTTGAAAACATCAAAAACCTCTCGTAAACGACCATCTCCAGTAAGCGACCGTGATCACTTTTTCGGCTGACAGTTTTAGAATTTTCTACTGTTTTAAACCTCCGGTAAGCGACCACTTGACACATGGTCTTACTAAACGGTCCTAAACATTGAACATTGTAAAAATGGACAAAAAGGAATTTATTCTTTGGCTGTCATTATTGCCTACACATCTATTACTGTGTTTTTTTTTAGTTCGATCTACAACTATAATTATAGTCGTTATCCTTGAGTTCCAGGTCTCATGATCAGTTTAAGAAGAGAAGTTTTTGTTCGTCAGACGTTTCAGGGACATTTCTGTACAAGAAGTCACGCCCACAAGTAAAATTTTATTAACCACCAATTTATAGCGTCATTTTTCATTTTTCAACTCGCAGAAAAAATGAATGACCCCAATACACGCATTCGAAAAGCACTTGAACTGCATTTGAATGCGTTCATTTTTTTTTTTGAAGTGAGCTAAGGAAGAAGTTTACCGAAACAAGGTAAGAATTATTACTTTATTGTCAGATTGCGCATGGGTAAAAGGCATTTCAGAGATAATGGTTCAGCATCCTTTCATTATAAAGGAATCTTCTATAAGAAGAAAGATAAGTCAACTGGATTAAGAAAAAGAAGAACGTGTAAATGGCACTGACGACATTTTGATAACAGGCCGGGCGGCCTAGGGCCTCGACCGTAACTTCAATATAAGCGTGCGTAGTCTATTTGGCTTGGAATCGCTTTCACCTGGTTTATTCTCAAGAGCTTCCTTAAATACAGCAGATCTAACGAGAGTTATATCATTTACGACGGCAGTGGATCGAGTCATTATAATTATCGAATAAACAAAAGGGAACTCAGCATTTGACTGCTTAGTCTAAATGGATTGTCATAAAATTTAAAATCTCAATTTAAAAGTTGTGCAAAAAAAGCTTACTGTGAATTAGTTTGTGTTGTTAAACAAAGTAATTTTTTAGTTCAGTTCTGTAAACAGGCCAACTTGTTATAGATGTGCCGTAGAAGTCGGGGAAGACATCGTTTTCTAAACTTGTTGATGAAATCTTGAGCTTCTACAGCGGAGATACTGAAATTAATGTCCTACCGATTTTTAATTACATGGCACAAGCAAAGAAGTAAAATACGTTAAACAATCAATCTGCCATCAGAAAGCTTTGAAACAGTAACCATTTCAAAACCGTAAAAGGCACACCACAACAGCATACAAAATCAAAGACTAAGTTTGATTAGTTGAGTTCATTACGAAGACTGAATGCACTTTATCAGTAAAGACGGTTTTAGATACACGAAATGAAGTGATAACAAGTTTGGCGCATTGCGTTCGGCAACAGATAGTTTCCATAGATTTTGAGCGTTGCAACACCATGAGTCGTTGATTAAGAGAATGATTAAGAGATGAAAATGAACACGAGTCCTTTAGCCTAGGCCTAGAGTGTTGATTTTCAATTTTATATGTACAGTTTCATTATAATATCGAATAGAGTGCAAAATATGAATAATAGATTTTGGTAAACTCTTTTTTTTTTATAAGAATGTTGTTTTCCCGGCGAAGGCTGAATATTCTTATTTTTTCGCCGATTTTAGGCTAAAAATATTCTTGTGTTATTCTTAAATCAAGCTTATGACATTTCCGTTTTAGAATATATTGTTTAGTGCGGTTTTTTCGTTTTGTTGGCTAGTGTTGCCAGAGAGGAAAAAGTTGAAAACATTTAATTGTATTGTATTTACAGATTTTCACCACACAAAATTATATTCTTTTCAAAATCTCAGCCTGAGGTTTATTCTTAAAATTTCGCAAATTTCAGCCTCGATATTATAAGTATAAAATATATTCTTAATTATAGGAAAAAAGAGTGTAAAGCTATTGAGACCCCTTGAGTGATTTTTCCGGTTTCGTGTCTAATGAGGGACGAGGCCGATGCATAATAAATAGATTGTAGCTGATTACGCCTGGTGTTGCGCAAGGATTTTGAGCTTTTCATCGCCGGTTGATGTTTTATATAGTTATGAACTAATTGAAACCAGCGGCAGATTAATTTCGTGTGAAGATGGGTAGTTCTCCGTCGAAAGGAGAAATGGTTAAACGACAGGACGTTAAGTTCAAGGTGAAAAAGCAAGATGTCATCAAAACGAGCCGGGAATTAATCCTTTCGACAGAATTGACAAACGTTTGCCTTGAAACTGATGCTTTAACAGAGTTGAAGGCGAAGTTGGAAAAAGCTGTTTGTTGGACCAGTAAATATGAGACTTCCTGGAGTCCGGAATTTTCCCGCTCAGTTGATGAACTGTTAATGGAAGCTTGCGATGAAATGAGCCGTTTGATCGAAGGACCTTTGGCGTCGTGCCGACTCGAGATTGTAAGAATGATTTTAAGGCTGCGATTTGCTTGGGGTAGCGAAGTGTTCGAATATCTTAATATCAAGTCTTTTCCACGAGAAAGAATCGAAACAAAAACGGCTCTCATCCTGGCTGGGCAATATTTTGAGCCCGATAAAATCTACAAAACTGACAATCGAATTTGTCGATTGTATGTGTTCAAAGTTAGAGACGTAGAAACCAAAGTACCTGTGTTTACATACTACCTGGAATGTAGCACTATTCTACAGAAGTTTTATGTACTTTGTTTAGAGTGTTCTGGAGGGCATCTACAACTAACAAGATACGGAAGCATCTGCCCGTCGTATTGGACAGTTAGAGAAGACATGCTCGGCGATTTTGGTTATAAGGAACAAAACGCTCTCGCAAAATGCCGCGACCCTAGCTATGAACAAACTGAGTGATTTCAACACAAAATTTTAACTTCATTAATAGTGTAAAACATTTTACCACATGTTTCTGTAACATAAAACAAGTAAACAAACACGAAAACAGGGGCTCTGGTAATATATATATAAGCATGACACCAACAACAGCAACAATTCAGTGCGCGTAAAATTCCGAAAATAAGCCTCGGGGCTTTTATTTTTAAAATGACCTTTTAAATAATGAAGGGTTTATTTTTGGAGGGGCTTATATCAGCTTATAGCCGGAGGGGCTTATATACGGAGGGAAATTTGCGTTTCAAAATCGGCTAGGCTTATACTCGGGAGGGAGATATGCGTCTCATAACTCATTGGGCCAGCTTATAGTAGGAAGGAAGTTTATGTGATTATGTCAGTAATTTGCAGCAAGTTTTTACTGAAACTCGTCATGAGGACTTGGATCTTTCTTAAACTCAGCCATGTATGTACTTTATCTATACTGGACCGAGGAAATCCAAGCCACTTTTAGACTGCCATTATTTATTTGGCGGACGTAGAAGTTCTTTGGCAAACGCAGAAATTTATGAGTAACTGTACAGTTTTTCTCTATTTCATTTTGAATTTGAGGGCAATTTTACGAGTACAAGCCCCCAGGGGCTTATATTTGGAGGGGCGATTTATCGGAGGGTTTTTTGTGCTACGAGTTTGGGGGGCTCATTTTCGGGATTTTACGGTATTCTTATAAAGAGCGTAGAAGGATTTTCTTTTTTTAAGACGAGTGAAAATGTCGTTATCCGATATCATTTAATTTGTTTCATTCGAGGCCCCATATTTTATGAGACAAGTCACCATTTGCATGATGGCGTCATTTTACTACTACGACTAGAATCCCTTTCGTTTTTCTTTCATATTTAAATTTGGTAATCCTATAACAGAAGCCCAAATTTGCACAAGAAAGCAAAACCCTGAAGGATTCTGGTCGTAGTGGTAGAATGACGTCATCGTGCAAACGACCTATGGCTGTCACTTGAATTCTGGATTCCAGGTAATAGATTCTGGGTTCCTTTTCAGTGGAACTTAGGTTCCAGATTCCAATCGTTAGGGGAATTATGGATCTCTCGGATTCCAAAAGCAAATCTTTGATTCCGCGGATTCCGGATAACCTTTAAGTGGTGCCTTACTGGCATCAAATTCTGTAAATCTTCATGGGCGGACCCGTAAATGTGCAAATTGGTGGTGTGCTGTTGTCTCCTTCCCACCGGGTCTACGGTCCAGCGCTCGCTATCGCTGATCTGGGGATGTTGAAGCGTTGTTTAGAAGAGCAATTAATGCAAGAGCCGAAGGATAGGGGGACGGGGGACAGCGGGCGTTTTATTTGTACATGGGGCTTATCATCCTCCGTTTGCGCTTTGAGCTTTCTCATCTCGCGTCCCGCGATTGTCTTCAGCATCCCCCTTCTTATTCGCCACTTCAAAAACTCCTTAATAATTCACAAAGAAAAAGCAAAAGGAATTATGTCTGATAAAGCCACGGCTAAACTTACGTCCAATTTTTAAGACCAAAAAAACCTCAAATCTAAATGTTAGTGCAAGAATGAGTTGATCTATATCAGAGATTTTAAAGCCCTTCAAAAAACTCGCAGTCGTGTATTATCAGGTTTAAAAATTCTCGACTTCGCCTCGAGTTTTTAAACCTGATAATACACTCCTAGTCGTTGTTTAAACAGTAATTTTTCATTGCCCACAATACACATTTTTTTACTGCCCACTCACCCAGCCTGCCACCAAATTTTGAATAAACATTCTTTTCGTTTTCTCTTTTTTGTGCAAAATTTTAGGGGGTATATAAGGTGTATAAGGATTTGGGCTTGGAAGTACTAAGCCTGTGTATTAGGTAGGTTTTTTGGTAGACATTTCGTCGCCTTTAAAGTAACCTTCACCAATGGGGACCACAGGGCGGACCATAGTCGAACGTGCGGCGAGACAGGCGCTTGCTTGTCACGCCCTCTGTCACGCACAAAATGCCTATTATTAAAAAAAAAATGGAAGAAGCTCTCTAATCCCGTCATTCATATCTGTCAGAGCCGCCTAAGCACAAGATTAGATTTAATCCAAGGAAATAATTTCAAGTTTCCATCAACTCGTCACAAAACCCACGAGGAATGAGAGTAGGCAGATGTTGAGTGCGGTCGCGTATTTTGTGACGTCAATTGTTGAACTCACGCAAACACCAATAAAAATTTGTGTAATCAAATTAGTAATATGTTCAATCAAGCATGTTTCTTGTACTCTTCACTTTATTTTAGCTTGGGATTCTTAAACAAAAGTGCTTCATCTTATCAAAATCGCCCGGTTTGGTGCGTGAATGGTTTGTCGGCGTTTTTATTTTTAATACCAATTTTATGATGAGTGTTTGTCGTTTTTTTTAAGTTATCCAGCATATAACCAGTAAAAGTAATATGTACTGATGAATAATATAAATTGGATAAATAGAAAATAATTTCTCCATTATTGTCGCTTATTTTAGCTGCTTAAACAAGAAAAAACACTTTGAGTGCTTTGAAGACGTGACATGCATAATTACCATAATTTCCGGTTGACAAAGGGTTTCATTGACTCCTTTTGTACTTTGGTCTTTAAGGGAAAAAAAAACCTCCCAGGTATAGGTACATGGGGCACGGATAAATTTAGCCTGCATTTTCGGTAGTCGCTTCGCGTTCCCCTGAGGTTAGTAGAGATAGTTCATGCGCTAATCGCAGCAAAATGCTCTGGGAAACTTGTGAACTACTGCCTAAATTGTGAGTCAGTTTTGGGCAAGTTGTCAATGCAGAAGTATTGTTGCTGTGCACGCTATGGGACACTGTTGCTCTTGCGTATGTCAGAACAGAAATGTCTTCTCAGAAAAGATCAAGACGGTAAACTCGATTCGCGACGACTGGATTTACGTTGACTTCGATTCTGAAATAACCGAGTTCGACGAAGAAGATGATGCCATGTTCATGCGTGATGAGTCACTCGACGAGCTTCTGTCGGAGTTTGAAGATGCGCTCTTCTGGCCAAAGAGGGACAAGTGCTTCCCGAGCTCGGCGTCTGTGGATTCCATGAACATGCTGTTTTGCAAGGCAGCTACTGAGATGTCACGGCTAGCAGGGGACGGGAAATACAACGAGGCGGACGAAGTTGCGGACGCTTTATTAGAACTCGTGGATGTATGGGGAGACGGTGTGTTTCAAACTTTGAATATGAACTTCTTCACAAGAGAGGAAATTTCACTTGGCAGGTTTGTCGCAAGGGTTGGGCAATACTTGAAGCCAGAACCACTGCAGGAAAATGACGACGACTTGACCGTGAAACTGTATTTCTTTATCGTCTACGACACTGATCTTGAGAAATATGTCTGCACATATCACCTAGAATACCGTGACTTTGACGGAATGGCGGACGCTGTCTATTTACTCAAACTTCGGTCACGCAAAGGTAAATATAAGATCGCGGCGTATGGCAACACCTGTCCTTCATACTGGAAAATCAGAGAGGATGTTTTGAAAGATTTCGTGAAGAGAAAACGCTCATTCATTTCTTGCTAGCTAAGTTAACTATGAACTTTCATTTCCCTCCTCCCGCTTTTGCCCTGGCCTCTGTCGTGATATTTGGCATAAATACCACTCGTGATATTTCAAAATTGTTTCAAAGCTGTAAGGTGGCGTAAGGTGGCTCGATCGTATTTTACAGGGTCAATACCTCCCAAGATTGAGCAAAAACTATTACATTAGCAAAAATTTGAAAAAATACTGCACTCATAGATTTTGCTTAAACTTCACGAACATCGAGGCGGCTGTTGGAGGAAAACGCTTCCGTGAACGATTTTGGACGAAGAAGCTCGAAGAGTTCTCAGTGTCGAGAAATACGGTACCCTGGGTACCAGAGGTTTTTCTCGCGTGCGGCGGGAATTTTCGGTGTTGCGGGTCACTATAAAGACTTGACAGAAACCGGAAACCGCGCTAGAAAAGTCTCTGGCACCCAGGGTAGAAATACGGCTGCAAGTAAAGTAGGTAATGGCATCATTTTGTTGCAATGACAACTCCGATGTCACTGCGACCCTGATCATAAAAGCTTTTCATCTTTATCTAATACACCTGTGGTGGCATTTTTCCCCATTATCTTTGTTGATGGGGAGTTTATGTTCAAACTTGGGAGATATTGACCCTGAATCACCCTATCGAGCCACCTTTAATATGAAATTGATTTTTTTATTCTCATGCAAATAAACCCCTTTTTCACAAGAAAGGGTTTGCGCTTAGCCTCGTTTTGAAAGTGAGAATTTTTGGAACTTGGAAATGGACCTTTGACATCCCCTCTCCCATTTTTCTTTTCATTTCATTACTTTTCATTTTCTTTCCTCTGTCGTTTTACATGGCCCATCCGTCAACAATGATTCCCTCAGTTGTCGGTAGCCGAGTCAAAGAGTCATATTTTTCCCAGGACGGATATATGAATTTAGGAAAATAAGGAATCACCTAGTGATGACAACGTCCTTCAGAAGAAAATGGAATTGGGGAAACGTTAAATACGACGATGCTTCATGAAACTTGGACACAGTTATTTGAGATGTTAATTTCGTGTGAATTATTATTTTTTTGTTGAACTTATTTAAAAATAAGGGTCAAAATGAGAAAATTTGACAAAATGAATATAATAATATAAAAAGTAAAGGCTTATATTTCCCTTCCTTTCACTGTGGCTCGTTCGACAAAACATTATATTATGTATATTTTCACGTAGTCACGCGGTTTCAGTGGATCGTCAGGTCAATCGATAAAAGTGGCACTTATCCTTGAAAAAAACTGTATAAAATAACGAGACAAAATCCTTGCTGTTTGTCCCGGAAGTAATTTACAGGCAGCAATAGAAGCTCTGGTAAGATATTATGGAGATTGGTAGTGTAAATACTTTTGTAGGCTCTTTAGAGGAGACAGCGCTGAGTAAAGTGAAGAGGAAAAATTGACAAAATAAATATAATAATATAAAAAGTAAAGGCTTATATTTCCCTTCCTTTCACTGTAGCTCGTTCGACAAAACATTATATCATGTATATTTTCACGTAGTCACGCGGTTTACGTGGATCGTCAGGTCAATCGATAAAAGTGGCACTTATCCTTGAAAAAAACTGTATAAAATAACGAGACGAAATCCTTGCTGTTTGTCCCGGAAGTAACAATAACAATAGAAGCTCTGGTAAGATATTATGGAGATTGGTAGTGTAAGTTCTTTTGTAGGCTCTTTAGAGGAGACAGCGCTGAGTAAAGTGAAGAGGAAAAAACAGCGTAGGTCTTGACGCCTTGATATTTTAAACAACTGCCGGTAACTGCAAACACCGTTAATTTGTGGTTGTGCCCAATTTTTAGGACAAATCGTCCCTATAACAGTAAAGGCACATAGCAATGCAAGTTTGTAGCGTCAAAGCATATATTTGAAGGGAAAAAGGCTTCACTTCTGGTTGACGTCCGTTGCTCAACAACACCTTCGCTAAGCTCTCTTTGACCCTTCGAAAGTTTTTCGAGTCCACTGATGGTGGCTTCCGCATAGGCCCTTCTCCGCAGAGGCCTCTTTGTGGCGAAGGCCACTTGCAGTTAGAGGCCAATGCTTCCTCTAAACAATGAATTGGAACACATAAAAATAATCTCACTCCCCGCATTTAAGGGAGATATTTTATGGCACTTTGTATGGCCGCCATGTTGAAAGGGCATAATCACATTTTGGTCACGTGACCAGCTACTAACTTACTCATTTTAAGAAAATGGTGCCGGTTTGAAAATCACAAGTCAATACCATTTTGTTTAAAATAAGACCCACTAATCGTTTTTCGAAGGCAAAATCATATAACTTGCATTTTCTTAAAAACGATGTCACATCACCTCTTAGCGCAATTGGCCTACCGTAAAATTCCGAAAATAAGCCCCTCCATGTATAAGCCCCTCCAAATATAAGCTCCCCAAACTAGTAACGCAAAAAACCCTCCTTTAAATCGCCCCGCCAAATATAAGCCCCCCGGGGGCTTGTACTTGGACAATTGCCCTCAAATACAAAGTAAAACAAAGCAAAAACGGTAAACTTACTTCCAACTATAAGGATAGCCCAATCGATTTTGAAACGCAAATTTCCCTCCGTAGATAAGCCCCTCCGAATATAAGACCCTCCAAAAATAAGCCCCTCAAAAAGTGCCTTTGAAAAATATAAGCCCCGGGGCTTATTTTCGGAATTTTACGGTATTTTATTGGAACACCCAGCGGGAGCTTCTTCGGAGGAGAGAGCGCACAGGCTGTAAAGAGTCAGTCACTGTCAACAACCGTTCTATATCCAGGACAGCACTGATCTACAAGTTCATGCAAAACCTATTTTGTGAGAAGAAATTGACGGCCAGCGCCGATTAATCCTTGGCTAGCATAATACCAGGCCGGATAACGCGACTAGAGACAAGTAGATTTCAACTAATAAAAACAGGACATTTATTTTGTAATTCTAAACCTACTGTAATCTTCAATATTTTACAATTTACAAACCGTAACTTCACTATTTACAAGTATTTTATTCTTTTTTCTAAAACGTGACATCTCTCCTCCAACTACGTTGGCCAAAATATATCTAACAAATATAGTTATAAAAGCGCAATTTCAAACATACTGAAACTGTCAAGAATTCAGTGACTAGGTGTCGTTTAAAATTTTACGTTTTTGTCCAACACTCAGCAAGTACAACAATAAAACCGTATCCTATGGACTCTTTTCCATTGAAATATACTTGAATCCGGGGATCCAAGGAAACCGTGCAACTTATTGTCCACGTGTCTAGCTCGTGTATCATTTTAAACAACCAAAGCTACTACTCTGGCTTTAGGAGCAAAACCGATTGCGGCTTCTCTGAGTGTGATGTACTGCGCTTTACATGGCGCACATGTTGAACTTTAAAGAAATCAGTGACTAAAACTGTTTAACTTCACATTAAAAAAAATATAATAAAAGTGCTGTATCGACCATAGGAATGACAGGTTTACTGAGAAAAATAGCGTTTAAAGGCTTTCGTATCCTACGAATTAGATTTTTAAAGAAGATCTGTAAGAAGTTCTTTTTCCTCATAACCTAGCTCAATATAAAGTGTTCACGTACAGAATAATTTTAGACGGCAGTCAATTGATATTATTTTGGATTTTACTGCCTGTGTTCAAAGACCCCCCTCCCCCGCCTCTCCACCCTATTTTCCCAAAAGCTAATTTAAACAAGAACCGATTTTAGTTTTGTTTTCAATTTCCACTACTATAGAAGGTTTTTTCCCTCTTGCAATCCTCTAAGATGAGGGAAGGGGTCAACAAGGGGTTTAATTTGGCGTTTTTTTATGGTCGTCCGGATGCCGCGTGTGCTTGTCTGCAATAAAGTTCGGGATGGTTTTCTTGACTGAAGAGCTGAAAGGAACGCAGGAGAGAAGGGACATGAGGACGGAAAGAGGACAGAGTAAATGACAACAAACGTGCAACTTGCATGGTTCGCGTCCCAAAATTCAGATCAACAGTACTGTTTGGTGCTTGTCACTACCGTTAGCGCTATGGCTAATTTGTTGAAACACTTACGGAAAACACAAACATAAACTTAGTCGTTTCATGAATACACGTATGGCTTTCTTCCCTGGTTTCACGCGTTTGCTTGGGCATAAACGTCTTCCAAATCAACATTGAAGAGGAAGGAAAGGAAAACTTCACAAGCGTTTCAACAATTATGACCGCAGGGAATGTAGGATTTCAAAATTAGAATCAAGGAGAGATTAACCTAGCTCTAGTCCGTTCTCGAAATACCTGGGATGAAATAATCGGTGCGCACGGTTGAGATTGGAGAATTTATGAAACTCTATACGAGTCCTTCAGCGCGAACGGCACAGAAATAATAGTACTAGTAATAACTAAAGGTTAGGGAGTGCAAGCGACAACGATCGGAGGTCCAGACGCTTTTGCTCCATCCCTGGCGTACGTTTCACGTGACAGATGGTCAAAACATGCGTGATCAGATTACGAGGAGTAGAAGGTCTAAACGCGCGTGATCAAATTGGGTTCTGTGCATTCCATTCATTCTTAGTGGAAGTCCAAACGAATGCAGGCTACATCCATGCGACGCATGCGTAATAACAACCTGGAGATTAAGATTGCGGGCTCCTCTTGTCGCCCGCAATAACTGACCCAGGTACTGTCTCAACACGTGGGTTTTAAACTTTGTACATTTCCCTTCTTTAGTCCATTCTCAACTCCACTAAACAGTATTGAACTCTTGTAGAGAACTTGAAACTTGAATTTGACTTACCTAATTAGAATGAGCGACCCGTAGATCCCCAGGGCGAAGTTGTCTTTCTCCTTCATTGAGGAGAATTTTGAGCGCCCTTTTGAGAAGATAAACACCCATTTCTCTTCTTTTTCTTTGAGGCCACGCTTGGGCTCTACCATAGTAATCACCTCTTTTTTTGTTGGTTACACGTGAAAGACCTGATCAAACGAAAAAAAAAGTCTGTTACAACCACTGGATTATGTCTCTCGGACACTGAGATTTGG